ACTCCGAAGTTAAGCACGCGGGGCCCCGTGTAAAAGCGGGGTGGGTACTCCCTCTTTTTCACATTCTTTGAAAAATAATTTGGTCCTAAACGGCGCCTCTGTAGTCTGTTCGGAATTCGCTGGATGGTGCGCACCTCCACCGCTCCCCCCTCGCCCTCCGCGCCTGCACGCTAGTGCGTAGGCAACCCATCGAGCTGCCGCGTATTCTTACGGACACCCGGTATGTACTGCCGTTCATTTAAATCATCCCTCTCTCTCCAGTTCCTAAATTGCACATTCAGATTCAGGCCCGCTTTCCGGTCATTGGACCCGTTGCAAATTAACCAACATGACACGCACAAAAGAACCATTATAATGAGTTGTTTAGGCGCAATTTTAAAGAAATTAGCCCTGTAAAAGATCTCATTGTTTTATTTAAAATTCAATCTGTCAATAGTCAAAGCCCAAATGAACATTTTCGCAACCTATTCCGACGTTGTTTTTGTCTTGGGTTGTCAACCCTTTCCACTGGCATCAAAATCTTGTCCACTGGAGGGGCATTACGGAGCTCCCTGACTACGGTTCGCCTGCGCCTTCTAAACGCCCTGAAACAGGGTGAGGGGGGTGGAGGATGGGCAATCAGAAGGCGCAGGCGAATCGCAGTCAGGGAGCTCCGTAATCCCCCTCCTGGGGCTGCACTGCTTCTGTGACTCCCTTGTCTTCTATGCTTGTAAAGTATAGTAAATAAAGTATTGTGTGCGAAGCCAACAAGCTGTACCCAGGGTTTGGGGGGGGGGGGGGGGCACTGGGTTCATATTACCCGAAAAAGGATGTTTTATAGTCGGGTCGGATTTAGCTAACTCTGGCCGCCGGCATTGTGGCCACAATTTTGTGGCGACAAATAGGGACGTCACCCAGGTCTCTCTACCAGGCCACCCAAGCTTGAACTCATGGTCGAGGCCGCGGGGCCAACTCGTGCGCGAGGAGTGGTGGTCGCCTAGGAAAACACCGCGTCCCATCCGAGCTCAGTCGAGTCCTGGGTACTCGAGTGCTTCTAGACAGGTGGGGGCCCCAATTTAGACCCCATCTTGTTCCAAAGCCATGGAAATGTTAATGTCTCTTTTTGGTGGGAGATACCAATAAATACATGATAAGATTGTTCAATTTTATTTTGCTCCTGTAGTTATTAATAAAAATATGTATGCTATCTTTTAAAGTTCTGTACACATACACATCACAGTATGACATTATCATTACATACAAGTTTGAGGTACACTAATAGTAACAAAATCTACAGAATGATAGTTACTGTTACTACAGAGGAAAATATCAAGAGGGGTGTCATGCCGAGACTCTAAGTATCTGAAATTTCAAACATGGCTACATGGTTTTATTGAATCTGTCGGTGGCTTACTCATCAAAGAAGACAGTAAATGAGGAGATTCATTTTCCTATAAAATATTATTGGAAATAAAATGCTGAGAAATGGATGTTGCACTGTTGTACACAGAACACATACGTCCATCCCACACTAATCAACCCAAAATTATAAAATCACAAAAGTTTCATGATGGTGAATATGTTTAGTATGAAACAACATTTATTAGATTCAATAAGACTTGCAAGGTACTAACTTTCTGTTTGCCAGGAAATAAACACATAATTACACGCACCATTCGTTGACTCCCTACGGACTATTTAAATTGGTACTTTCATTCCTAGGGGAATGATGGAGAAATAACAGAATAGCAAGTTTACTCCTGTTTAACAACAACTACAATTGTGAATCTCTCATTCTTTAGTCTTATTTACTCTACATGCAACTTATTGAAAGTATTGTGGATATTGAGAGGGAAACCAATGTCGACAGTCGTGTAGATTCATCAATACAGTCAATTAAAAAATTAAAATGATGTACCCGAATAACAAACACTGTGTCCAGGATGAGGCCCGGTCACTTGACGGACGCCCTCCCATTGCCGCAGCCCGTGGGGGTGGTAGTGGTGGTGTCGGGCTGGCTGCAGCACGCCCCGGACGAGTCCAGCGCCACGGGAGGCGAGCCTTGGGGCGAGCTGACCTGCAGCCGCCTGATGTCCGGGAGTTGTGACGCCGGCGGTCTCGGCGGGGTGGGCGAGCGCGACCGCGCGCGGCCGCCGAGGCTCGTCAGGTCCGACGAGAAGCCCGCGATGTGCGTGAGGCACTGCTCGAGCTGCTCGCGGCCGAGGAGGAGCCGCTGCTCGGGGCTGTCCTCCCCGCCGGCGCCGCCCTGGGCGGGAGCCACCAGGGCGGCCTCCTCCTCGGCGGTGCGGAACACGTCCCCGGGGCTGGTAGGCGCGCTGCCGGCCACCGAGCTCAGCGCCGTCCTGCTGCTGCCGGCCTGCACCACGTTGGGGCTGCTGCCGCGGCTGCCGGCTGCGCTGCGCCCGCCCCCGCTGCCCGTCCGCCCAGGGCCGCCCTGGGACCCACTCGACGACAGCCTGCAGGGCCGGCGGCCGTCCTCCTCCGCGTCGCCCGCGCTGCGCCGGCTGACGCGCCGCGACCCGCACGCGGACCCGCACCCCGACCCGCTCGAGGACACGGTGAGCGGTGCCGAGCCGGGCGGCGTCCCCGAGTTGGGCGTCGCCGGCGTCGCGGGCGTCGGGGGCGGCGTCGCCGTCGAGGAGGCCGGCCTGGCCGGGGCGTCCCCGCAGCCCAGCGCGGCCGCACCCTCCCCCTCCGAACCCTGCGCTCTGCGAGATAAGACAAAGAACAGTTTTCAGTACCATTTTTCTGTAAATGTTGTAAGTTATGTTAATGCTTTGCCCTGTTCCTCACCCGGACTCCCCCATGGCCTGCAGCAGCTCCTGCTCCCACGCCTGCTCCTTGAGCTCGCGCTCCTTCCTGGCCATCTCGCGCTCGCGGTTGAACGGCAGGAAGTTGGGCAGCAGCAGCGGCGGCGGCGGCGGCATGTCGGCGGCGGGCAGCCCGTCCTGCGGACAGAGAGAGACAGTGAGCAGTGTGGAGAGAGGTAGAGAGAAAGAGAGGGACAGGGTGTCACTTGCCACGTGCAGGAGGGTGGCGGAGGCGCCCACCTCCCGGATGGACCGCTGCTTGGCCAGGCGCTTCTTCTTCTTGTGCAACGGTCGCTGCTCGATGATCATCTCCTCCAACTCGTGTGTCGGGTCGCAGTTGAGGTGGTCTCTCTGCAGACAGGACGGTGCGGGCCGGGCCCGGGGTTAGCGGCTTAAGCCCAAGCAGGGATAGGAGGAGGAGGGGGAGAGGAGGCTTACCGGGGGCGTGAACGTCGGCTTGATCTTCTTCTCCAGCACCGCGTCAAAGTCCACGTTGGCCATGAAGGGGACCTTTTTGAGCTCGGCCAGCGAGCTGATGCGTGCGCCAGGCCTGGAGCAGAGGAGCTGCAAGGCACACACAGAGAGAAACACAATCAGGATCGCAAAACGATTCATCTCTGCAGCGGACCATCTGAGGGCGGCGGCCGCCGGGCCGAACCGAGACGGGGAACTGTACTACTGGGCTGGAGGAGAACAAGGGAGACGGGAATCAGTCCAAAGGCTTTGTAAAGAGTGTCTCTCCAGCGGGGCGGGGCTCTTGGCGGCGTCCAGACGAATGGGGTGAGACATCAGGGAGGGACATGGAGCAGAGTGAGCTGGACAACGCACACACGAGCCAGTGTGCGGGTTACGCCAGACTACGCCAGGCTACGCTGGCCCGCCGCGGCCCGCCCGGCCACCACGACCACCCCAAAGAGCCCCGTTCGCCCCGAATAGGGCACATCCGACCGACGCGAAACGGGCGGGCAGGCCGGCTGCACGGCAAGATGATGACTTTGAAAGGGCCCTCGCGGTCATTGGACCGCCCGCCCCACCCGGCCGAAGGGAAAGGCTGGGCTCGAGCTGAATGTAGGGAGGGATTTTGGCATTTCGGGGAAAATGTTGGACTGGGTGGCAGGGGGAAAGGGTTGACCGCGCGCACACCGTGGGGTCGATTTTCCAACACGCGCGCGCGCCCACACACACATACACACATACACACATGTAGGGAGAGAAAGAGAGAGAGAGAGAGAGCACTCTCCACCCCCCCTCTCTTTCTCTCTCTAACCGCAGAGCAAGCAAATAAATGATGCGGGCTCTGATTACCCCCGTTGAATGTCGGTCTCGGCTCGCTCGCTCGCTCGCTCGCCCCACCGCCTGACAGCCAAGTCCAGCCCAGTGGAAGCGGGGGTGGGTCAACTCAACCTAATCGAGTGAGAACGGAACTCGTAACTCCACGAACGGATTAACCTTGCAAAAGCCCGAAGCCTATATCTTTGTATTTATCACCCCCTCCAGTTCGCGACGGCAAGCAGCTGTCGTCGGAACAACCAAACCAAACAGGGCCGCGTATTTCTGATTGAGGAAATGCCGCCCAACGCTGCCCCAAACGGCGCTTTCTCCTCGTCCCAGAGAACAACACAAACATGGCCGTTTGTGAGAGCTCCAGGGCAAGGCGCCCGACCCCGCAGGGAGGGGGCTGCTTGAGCGCCAAACTTGCCCATCCCTCCAAAGCGGCCCCCTCGCCTTCCCGTCCTAACACCTCCGAAGGGCCCCATGTGTACACGGCCGCGATATTGCCTGAATCGGCTCGGCGCGAGAACATCTTCATCTCGTGCGGCCCGTCACACGCGAGGCGGGGCGGGGCGGGGCCGCGGGGCCTCGTCTCGTCTCTTTGTCGGCAAGCGGCAGGCATAGCCTCACGCCCTAGCGCGCACCTCCCTGCTCCAACGGCCGCCCCCGCTATTCCGATATGACGGGCTCCTTTCTAGAGAAGCGCGCTCCCGGAACACTAGGAGGCTGAAATTATTGTGTCGTTGTCGGGGACGCAAACACCGGAATGGTTCCATGTGACAAATAGAACATATTACTTTATCGCAAAACTAGTTTGAAAATTCACAGCTCTTGTTGTAGTTGTCGTGCATGTGTACAGTAGGAACAAATGCTCGTGAGCGTGAGCACGCAGAGGTCTACAGTGGCCCCCGAAGGATCTCCCTCGGAGGGTCCTCATCCCCCTCCTCAACTCTACAAGGGAGTCTCTATCTCTAGAGACTCTCACATTGCTCAGTTTACGGGGGTGGGGGGAAGGGGTTGGAGAGCGCACGCAGGCGGGAGGTTGGCTCACTCACCTCACCTCGTGGCTCATAGAATCACGAGCAGCGACAAATCCTTCCCCTCCCCCTCCTTTGTCTCTACCCCACGCCCCACGCGCGTTGCTTGCTTTGGGCCCGCTTTGGCCCGCTTAGCCGATCGCGCATTCGCGCTGCTTCCATTTCCATATAAATTACTTTGGCCCCGGCAGCGCGACGCCGCCGACCCGCCGACCCGTCTTTGGTCCAACATCTCGCACAAAAATGCCATGCCAACTGGCCGCCCAGGCATTTCTTCATAAAAACGGAGTGGCCTCGAGACAGTCGCCCTCTTGAAATAAAATTTCCAAAACGAATGACACGGCTATTTATTTTTGTAGCATGTTATTACAGTAAACGCGAGTTATAACAGTAGCCGGGAAAGTTTGGCTGGTCAATTAAAAGTTGACCACCTCAGTAGGTGGAAAATATCAAATTCCCTTGCTCCTTGAACGCCTGTATACTCACCCTGCTTAGCAGGTCTACGAAGGGCTTGGACATCCAGGACGGGTAGTAGACGCCCGCGGCGAACAGGGCGCGCACCTCGCTGATGTTGGTGGCCGAGTGGATGTCGAAGGGGCGGACGCCGCGCGCGCACTCGTACGCGCACACGCCCAGCGACCACCAGTCCACCGGGAAGCCGTAGCCCACGCACACGTCCGCCGCGCAGTCAAAGATCTCCGGCGCTGCCAACATACAATGTATATAATAAAACAACATCGACAAAAACTTTAGGAAGGGGGGGGGGAGAAACAAGGGTAGAAAAACGACATGGAAAGGTGGGGGACGACGGGAGGTTTGTTTATTAACCGCTCGCACGCCGCCCCCGAGAGCCGAGGAGAGCGCGGGATAGCCCGCCGGAGAGCCCTCCGCTCCTGCGGGCGCCGCACTCAAAGTCTTTCTTATTACTTTGCTCATCGCAAAGTTTTTTTATTGAAAATTAACCTATTCATCCGCATTACGGCCGGAGAGTTCCTTGGGGAGGGGAAGTGTGCACCAGACCCCCACACTACACACAGGCATTCTGTGAAAACACAACTTCCACAACTCTTTGAAATACTACAGAGACCGTGGTGAGGGTACACAAGGAAACCCGGACGTCGTGCAAAAGTGTTTGGGCGCGCCTACGAGTGTGCGTGTGTGGGTGTCCGCCACCGAGGCCGCAGGGGGACAGCGGAGGCCGGGGCGCGGGCTGTGCTCTGAGCGGCCCCCCCGGCGGGCATGTTCTGCTGAGGTTGGCGATACTGCACTTCATGAGGCTGTCCTACTTGCTCGGCAGTTCTCAAGTGTCCTTCGTGCCACCCCTCGCACCCCCTCCCCGTCCTTGCTCGAGCCTCCTCTAGCTATTCTTCTTCTTCTCCCACGGCCGCCTGCCCTACAGAGACTGCTTCGTTCTGCCCTCCTTCCCGGTGCTGAAAAAAGTAAATATCGCACGTCTGCGCTCCGCGTTGTCTCCTAGATGGCTCCGGGTTGTCTTTGAGATGGCTGGAAACTGGCTCCAAAACGGATCTAAATTGTCTCCGATAAGTCCCCCCGATGGCTCCGAAATGGCGCCCCGTTGTCCAGGTGTCGGCTTATGTTTGGCTCCAATAAGGCGACTGCGGAATGGCTATATTTCCGGAATTAAATTTCCTATTGCGCAACCGTTCGCGATGGCAAATGGCTCGCGGCTACACAAAAAGCTGAAGAGTGATCACAACGAGCCTCCGCGATGTTTTGAGAATGGCCATCCTCCTTCGGCCATCCTTTCCTGTTGGGGCTGTGACAGCGGAACGCCTTGCCGCCGCGTGGCTCCGCCGGCTCCACCTCGAGGCCTGCCCCCATGACTGATGCAGATACCCCTGCCCCTGCCCCC